CCTCGGCCCCCACCCCTGAGTGGTGGGTGGCGGCCAAAAATAACAAAGGGGTGGACCTATTGTTCCCCCCCCAGCCACCACCCCTGAGTGGTGGGTGGAGGCCATAAATGATAATGAGGGGGGGTAACCTATTGTCCTCCCCCCGTCCCTACTCCTGAGCGGCGGGTGGGGGCCATAAAAGACAATGAGGGGTAGGGACCTATTGTCCTCTCCCCCAGCCCCCACCCCTGAGCGGTGGGTCGGGGGCCATAAATAACAATGAGGGGGGGACCTATTGTCCTCCCCCTGGCCCTAAATGAAAATTCCCCCCTTCCAAGGTGACTAGTCGTCCCCAAGCCCCTAGTCACCCCCCACCTATATAAAAAAAGAATCCCCTACCTACCCCCCCCTAAAAATAGTGAGGGGGAATAAAATAACTACCTGTAAAAAAAAAAAAAAAAATTACCATTTGGTGTCTTTTTTTTTTTTAAATCTTCATTTTTCAGCCCCCAAAAAGGCCAAATAAAAACCATAAAACCAACTCACTGTTTTTATGGTGAGGGGGATAGGTAGGGGATTCTTATATGTACAAATGCAATTCACATTCCCTGCTGCTAGGACCACCACATCACTCAGCGCAGGAGACAACTTGCACAGGACTAATATATTAAATATAGTTCACCATCACCAACACAAACTTATACTTAATCCAATATTGTTTCTGGTATTCCAAAACAGTTACCTAGAAACAAAATATTATAAGATACTTGGTTTTAATTTTTGTTTTTTTAGTAATCGTATAATGTTTTGGGATATACTACCAGAAGGCAATCTACAACACAAAATAATAGAAACGGACATAGAATAGTAACGTAGTGTATTGGGAATTTGTAGAAATAAATGATTACACTCACAGACCCAATTTGATTGCAGGCATATCATAAATAACGATGTATGAACTTCTCGATTTGTGGAACGTCAATCCCATGTATAGGAGGAAGAATAGAAAATAATAATAGTGCAGAGTATCTTAAATAAAATTAACAAAATTTATTACAAGATACACTTACAAGAAAGATGTATCAAAAAGGCACATCAAACTCAGCTGAAGCTGCAAACCAGTCCCAGGATCAGAAGAGCAGAAAAACCAAATAAGATAAAATACATTTAAACATCTATAAAAACAAATACTCCGCATATAAGAAACAAGCCCTACGCGTTTCGTTCATAAAATGAACTTCATCAGGGGAATCCAGTCCTCTGTAAACAAAAATACATAAAGCACTCGTCTTTTATAAATACAATCAAATTTGCCGCGAAGAAAATCAGCTGTGCGTGTTACTTCCGGGTTTCGGCTTCGGTATATTTCCGGATACGCCCCTATTGCGTTCCGGAACTTCTGTCCAAGCCTCACTTTGAAGTTCATCTAGTTGAACGGAAGTCAAGACGAATGTGCGTTCCATTTTGCGTTCCATTCTCGGGGTTAGACACATACATCCCCAGAGCACATCGTTATATAAAGAAAACGAAATAAACATATGTGTGATCATATATACAAATATATAGAGAAGGGAGGAGTATCATATATTCATATTCTCTATATATTTGTATATATGATCACACATATGTTTATTTCGTTTTCAAATATATAGAGAAGGGAGGAGTATCATATATTCATATTCTCTATATATTTGGTTTGTTTATATTCACCTGAAAGGAACACTGTTCAGTGGAAGCATACTCCCGAACGAGGGGCACGTAATCAGCATTCAGACGAATATCTACGTTCGGTATTTTGTGTGTTTTACTTTACAGAACTTTACTCCAGTGGCATTTTGGCTGCGTTCGTGGGATATGAGTGCTTTTTGGATATGTTGGGTGTTCAGATGCAGACTATCCGGGGATATAGGACTTGAGGTTGTACCTGATTGTGTTGTGTGTATTTTGCGGTGTATAACAATTGTACATGTTCTGTACCTGAGAGATAATTTAATTTAGATGTTTACTTTCAAATAGTTCTCTCAGGTACAGATGAACCATGGGGGGGGGGGGGAATTACCCTGTAATGTTGAGTCCATAACCCCTTGCGGGGGCTGTTGCATAAAAGGCCGTGGTTGCCTCTAATAAACAAGTTCATCCCCAGCATTCAGTCTCGACTAATGTCTGTGGGGGAAAGCTATACCTGCTTTGGATTATCGCTACTGGTAAAGTCTACTTGTGATTGCTACAGAGACCAGAGTTGATACAGCATAGCTCGCTACTGAGGCAAAAGGACATCTCTGGCGGCAAAACCCGTGTTCCTACCTGGGTGGCTGCCACATCTCCCTTTTTTTGTCAAATGGTTTGACAAAAACTGGCCAATCACAGACTTTCAAATGCAGCTCGATGAGAAGTCCTTGCAAGACAGGCGCTCTGGTCAATTGCTGCCTCTTGAGTTTAGCTCCACTGAGCTAACCAAACCAGAAAGTAACAGAATTTGTTGTTACATCCCATGGCTTTTAAGCAGACAAGATTAATTTATAAAAATGTCAATTTCTATTAAAATCTGCAAAAAGAAACAAAAACAGGACACATTCTAAACACATAAATCGTTTCGCAAGCGAACATGGGAGGTAGATATGCTTACTGCAATATTTGCTACGCATCTAGTTTCCCGAGACTCTCCTTGAATGTATACTTTCCTGGAGTGGAGAGGCAAACCCTAACAGGATCTGCTAAAGGTAAAATGTGCCCAAAATCAATGTACAGTTGCTTGAATCAAATATTATTGTGGCTTGGCCTAAGATTTGCACAGTTTGGGAGCAGAGATCTGAGGTTTAAGCGTCGATTTTGATATCTACTGGGAGAATTATTTTTCACAACAGAATTAGGCCCTCTTTAATAGAACTCATATGCCTCTGGAGCAGGCCAGATGAAATGAAATTATGTAATAACAATGTTATTAATCATTTGAAAATTGGAAGAGATTTGGCTGCATATTGGTAATCCTTTAACGGAAAAGTGTTTAGGACATATATATTGAAATTCTTTGTTAATTTCTGTTTATACAACCATTAAATGGTGATTATATTGTTTAACCCCTTAACATAGTTAGAGCGTAACATGCCACACTTACTTTTTCCATCTCCCCAGCGCCTGCAGACTTACCTTCGGCCGTGAACTGCATCGATCCGAATGCCGAAAAACCCAGGCAGACATATTGAACATATGTATAGCGCAAATTCTAGGTTTTGTTTTAATTAGAACTTGTACAATTACTTCCGTCCTTAAGGGGGTTAAAGTGGATCAGGTTATTGGCAGACATCTACAGAAGACAAATGAACACATTGCGTGGGATGTGACTTCAGTAAACAAGAGGTAATGCTACTGAAGAGTCAACCCCTTTGATCAGTCATAGAGTGATAAAATGTTCACCTACGCACTAATCAATGCGCTGTGTCAGTTGACATTTAGCATTGTCTACTATGGCCATTTCATCTGCAGATGCCCGGTGTAACCCCGAGGGTGCTAGCTTTGCAGAGTTTGCATCTTCTGTGACAGTAATATATAATGTGCAACTCCCATCACATCACTACAACTCAGAGACGGCGATGCTTGGCATTACGGATGTTTGGTATCTACAACCTGCAGTCTGGCATTATGGATGAAAAGCACATTTGCACTGCCAGGTTTTGTCAGCACCGCATCGCAAGTCTCCAAACTGCATGCTCTGGGGTTTGTTTAACAAACCGTGTTATTCACTGAAGAAAGCACTGTGGTGAACTCAATGTGAAGCTAACATTTTAGGCCAAAAAAGCAGCATTCAAAAAAAAAAAATAATAAAAAAAAAAAAATATATATATATATATATATATATATATATATATATATATATATATATATATATATATATAATCCAAGTACTTTTATATGCACATACACATGCATAAACCATAAAAATGTATTTTAATATTCATATATTAATATTAAAGTACATGTAGAATGATGTTAATTATATAAATAAAAAAATTAAATAATCAATAAATGTTAAAAAATAAATTTAAAAAAAATTATACTAGTTTTAATTTGTTCTAACTGTATTTTGATATTAATAGATATTTTAAATTAAAAATAAATTTAGAATGACACTATAATTAGATATATGTATCCATATATCTATCTCTTTATATATAGCTTTATTATAAATAAAAATAATAAAAATATATTTATTTAAATTCTACAAATATATTTATATAATATTTTTACATAAGTCATTTTATTAATTACAATTTGAGGGACCTGCCTGACAACCCAAGCTGAAAGTCCAGATAATTTGGCTTGCAAGCCCTATATTTAACACCCATTTTTATATTTTATTCATATTAAAGTGTTTCATAGCTAAATATTTAATGTTAAATGAAAGCCCTGTGTCCCCTGAATAAAATTATATATAAGTGTGGGTGCACTTAATATAAAAGAGGTGAATTACGGTTGAACAGACATATAGTCAAATTCCAAGGTTTGTTTACGTTTTGATCACAACGTGTACATTTGGCTCAGTCCTTAAGAGGTTAAAGGAAAACTATAGGGTCAAAAAAATGTATTTCTGATCCTCTAATGTTAAACTCACCATTTAGGTGGCTTGCCCCCGCCAGGCCCTCTTAAAAGGAATGAAAACTTACCTTATTTCCAGCGCCGCCAGGCGATGACCCCGCCCCCGATCTGCCTCCTTGGTGAAAAAAAAAAAATCGTCAAGAAGGCGGGATAGGGCAGAGCCAAACACTGTTTTGGCCAATCAGCACCTCTTCATAGAGATGCATTGAATCAATGCATCTCTATGAATAAAATTCAGCATCTACTGTGCAGCACTGCCCCAGGAAGCACCTCCAGTGGTCTTTTGAGGAGTGGCCACTTGGAGGTATCCATATCCAGTTTCTATGAAAAAGCAGCGTTTGCATGTAATGATTATACTCACCAGAACAACATTAAGCTGCAGTTGTTCTGGTGACTATAGTGTCCCTTTAACGTCAATTTTTTGCATAAAAACATATATTATCAGTATGCACTACACGCTGCTGACAGACTCCACAATCTTACCATTGCAGGCACTAATGCATTTCCCCTCCCGCCTCCAGTTATTTTAGGTTTCTCCTGCACTCCATCCCCTTGCCAGCTCACAGTGCACGAGTCAATTAAATGGTCCAATCAAAGGCTTCCCTGTCCGCAACTCCCGTATCAGAAGAAGGCAAGTAAAACCTTAATTTACAATGTTTTTCAAGTGTTTGAAGGGGACTCTGATGAATGATGCCAATAGAGCAAAATAAAAAAAGAAAAACAAGAAAACAAAGGTTGAAGAAACCATTTAAGGTGAATTCAAAACCAGACTGTAAAAATCTAGATTAAAACTATTTGGAAAAAAAACTGAACTGCAAAATGTTTCCAATGTATTAACTTTTACTTTTCCAACTTATGTAATTTTGCCCTAAATTTTATTTAATTACGGGTTTCAATGCAACACAATTCATTAATTAGTGAATAAACCTCCAAGTTATGGAATGCTTTAATTTTCTCTCTGCATTGCAAGTCTCACTTTTTCTTGTATTACAGTACACAGAAAGCAGATAACCCATTAACCACCATAGCCATAGATTTACCCACAGCGCTGATGTTTCATGGGATCTGTGACATTATGCTAAGAAACTCGACTATACGTTATCCTTTGCAAGGCACAAACCTGTGCAATCACAGCAGACAGACAACATTCTTCACTACAATCATGTTGCACTTACCTTTGCAAATGCAGATCTCCATTTATCTTCTGGATTTCAAGTAATCATATAAACCAATCTTTTTTTTTTTTTTTTCATTCTTACCCACAGCCTCCCAACTTCCAAGCCCCCAAAATAAAACAACTTCCTAATTCCATAGTAGAAACATAGAATGTGACGGCAGATAAGAACCATTCGGCCCATCTAGTCTACCCAATTTTCTAAATACTTTCATTACTCCCTAGTCTTATCTAATAGTTCGGATAGCCTTATGCCTATCTCACGCATGCTTAAACTCCTTTACTGTGTTAACCTCTACCACTTCAGCTGGAAGGCTATTCCATGCATCCACTACCCTCTCAGTAAAGTAATACTTCCTGATATTATTTTTAAACCTTTGTCCCTCTAATTTAAGACTATGTCCTCTTGTTGTGGTGTCTCTTTATTCTGCCTCAATTAAGTAATAGATGTATGATGACAGATTTAACATGTTAGCCTTTTGACTTGGAACCTTGTAGACATAATGTGATGTAACTATGAGTATAACCCACCCTATTACTCTCTGATAAGGAAGCAGGGAAGATTTGCATGATGCCAACAGACTGCCAGTATATGCCTTGCATCCATAATGACAGCTGGGATACCTATTTAAGAAAAAAACAACATACTTTGCACTTTTTCACCCTCACACACTGATGCAAATTATTCTTCTCCCCATGATTCCATGAGTGTGCCCAGTATGAGCAGGGTATCATAAGAAAATCCTGCTCAGCACACATCTATGAGCAGTACACCAAGTGAAATGCACTGGACGCCGTGGACAGGCACTGGCGTATGCATTCATATTTACAATCAAAGCACATCCCACCCCAAGATACTCACAACAGATGAGTTAGAATACATATTCTATGTATAGCTAATCCAGAAGGAGGTGTTTGAAACAAAAATTCCCAAGAGAATTTAATAACCGGTTTAAAGGCACTTTACAGATGGTAAATGAAAAATGTAACCCGTGTAAAATGCAATGTGATTTTCACAATTTCCCCATGAGCAACTGACAGGCTGTGCAATAGTGATCCTGTGCAGGTGTACGATGGGGAGGAAGGGAAAGGAGGCGTCTAGTAGCCTCGCATATTTTATTTGTACCATCAGTGCATGAAGTGATTATTATTATTATGAATAAGCACATGACCCATTATTAATTTCTACTAGATATCAGTGAACAGTGGCTTTGTTCTTGCGTGTCCCTCTCTCTCTTGAAAGGTAGTCACAAGAGGTGGAGCTATGGAATAAAACTAATTTTATGCAAAAAAAACAAAAAAACAAACCCATAAGACACAAATAAATCATCAATGCACCAAAACCAGCATCCATCCATGCATCACAATCAACAAAGTTTGGATTATTTTTTTCATGTGATGCATCATATGCATTACTGCATTTACAGTGTTTAAAGTGTCTTAACAGTCTATAACATTTCCTGCCTAGCAATATGCACTGTATTTCTTGTCATCGGGCCACTAAATTGATACATCCCCATCATTATAAACATGCATACATACATAAACATTCTGATACACATACTAAGACAACACCAAAATGCATGGACGAAAAAAAGAATTGAATGTTTTAATAAATTCCTCTTCCTAATTAGCCTCAAATCATATATTCAATATATACATGTAATGCACAGTTTGTTGTGTTGTTTTTTTAATCTCAATTCAGCTTTTACAAGACTAACATAGCCTTAATCTTGGACGTATTATAGTTATACATGGTTTAATGGCCTTGGATGTCACCAGGCCTCAAGAAGGGACATGTACAGTCTAAAGTTCTATATGTTCCAAAACCTTGCAACTGTCAAAACTGAACACTTTGTTGCTACTTGCACTTTTGTGGTCAACGGCACATTTGGTTTACCTGTTTCACATATCACTTTGTGAAAAGATATTAGTGTCTTTAAAAAATTTTTTTTATATATATTTGTTTGCTTGTGGACAGAACATTTTAATGAAAGTCTGATACCTTAACCCCTTAAGGACACATGACATGTGTGACATGTCATGATTCCCTTTTATTCCAGAAGTTTGGTCCTTAAGAGGTTAAAGCTGCTTCACCGGGCATACATG